TGAAAGTAGAGAAGAATTTTATCAATCTGCATGTCAAACTTTAATGAATGATGTAGAAAATAGAGAACATCATGCTTCAGGTTTAGTGATAACCAGATTTTTGAGATTGCAAATGTTTCAAACTAGAACTGATGCAATGAGAGGAGCTTCTTACATTGAGAATCCAGAATATGTTAAAAGAAAAAAAGCAGTTAATAATATCAAGAACAAAGATAACAAGTGTTTCAAGTGGTGCATTCTAGCCCATTTACATCCTGCTACTAGAGATAAAGATAGAGTTACTAAATACACACCTTTTAAGGATGAATTGAATTTTGATGGACTTGAATTTCCTTTTAAGTTTGAAGATATTGAAAAGTTCGAAGTTATGAATAATATAAGTGTTCATGTGTTTGCATATGAATGTATCCTTCCTGACTATATTCAAATAAGAAATAATTATGAACCAATAGAAGAAGATTATGAGCATAAAATTTACAAATTACGACATTCCGATTATATATGTGAAAAGGAAAGAACTGTTAACCTCTTTTATAATGAAGATTCAGAAGGTAATGGTCATTTTAGTCAAATAGTGAACTTAAGTAGACTTTTGAGTAGAAGTAAGGAAGATAACATGAAATATTATTGTTGTAGATGTTTATCGTATTATTATAATCAAGAAAAGTTAGATAGACACTTTGATAATTGTGAAAATACTCCACCAATTGAGCATAGATTATCTCACAACGAATTCATTGAGTTCAGAAATTATGAGAATACTCAAAAACATCGATTCGTTATCTACAGTGATTTCGAAAGTTTGATAGAGAAAATTCAAAATGAAGAAATAAAAAACAAGTTCGTGAAATCTTCAAAAGATAGCGTAAGCAAAGCTTCCTTAGAAGATATGGTGGGTAAGAAAAAAGATAAATGGACCGTGAATATTGGAAAACATATTCCATCTGCATATTGTATACTCGTAGTTGATTCTTGGAGCAAAAGTATCTATGATATCAAATCTTATGTTGGTTATAATGCTGCACTGAAGTTTAATACAACAATAATTGAAATTGTTCGAAGTCTTATGAGCAAAGAAGATATTCCTTGCAGAAATTTAACTTCAAACGAGAAAGAAGAGTACTATGCATGTACGAATTGTTCTAATTGTAATGTTCTTTTTGATTCGAGTGACATGAAAACAACTAAAGTGAAAGATCATGATCATTGGACTGGAGAATATCGTAGTCCATTATGTGGTGAATGTAATTTGAAGAAAAAGAAAAATAAATTCATTCCTATATTCTTTCACAATCTCAAAGGTTATGATTCTCACCTTATTTTAGGAGATCCTCAAAGTACTAGATATCTGAGAAAACAGAATGTAGAAGTAAAAAACATTTCTGCCAATTCTGAAAAGTTTATTAGTTTCAGTTATAAGTTACCTTCTTTGACAGAAAATGTTTGGGAAGGTTGTGAAGTAAGATTTCTAGATTCAATGTGTTTCATGTTATCTTCATTGGATAAACTTGCAGAAAAATTTGGATAATGATAAAATGAATATTTCCAGAGATTATTATTCAGAATTCGAAATTTCTACATCCGCTGGATTAAATAAGAATAATGATGTTTTTCAAAACTATGAGGAAAAAAAGGAATTTATCCATACGAATACATGGATTCATTCAAAAGATATGAAGAAACTAAACTTCCAAGTATTTCTTCATTTTTATGATAAACTGAATGACAAAGAATGTTCCCAAAAAGATTATCTATATGCTAAAGTAGTTTGGAACAAGATGAACTGTAAGAATTTAGAAGATTATACTAGGATTTATATGATTAATGATGTTCTTCTTTTAGCAGATGTCTTCGAGAATTTCCGTAATCTAAGTTTAGATAAATATGGACTTGATCCATGTTGGTATTATACTAGTCCTGGATTATCTTGGGATTCTATGTTAAAATATACTAAAGTTAGACTAGATACTATTAATGATACAGAAAAAGTTTTTTTCATGATTGAAGATGGAATAAGAGGTGGAATAGTTAATGCTATTAAAAAGATATACAAAAAGCAAATAATAAATACACGTCAAAGTTCAATCCTGAGGAAATATCTAACTTCCTTTTTATATCTAGATGCTAATAATCTATATGGTTGGGCTATGAAACAATTATTACCTCATAGCAACTTTGTTTTTTTGAGAAACAAATCCAACTTAGTGTTTTTGAATATTTCTATGAATGAAGTAAGCAAATCACAAATTCGGAAATACATAGAAAATCTTAATAGTCAAGGAAAAGGGTGTATTCTAGAAGTGGACTTGGAATATCCAAATGAGTTGCATCATAAGCATAATGAGTTTCCACTTTGTCCTGAGATAAGAGACTTTGGTAATAATATTAAGAAGTTGTGTAATACTTTGGAGGATAAAACAAATTATGTTATTCATTATCAAAACCTGCTACAAGCTCTAGATCTTGGAATGAAATTGAAGAAAGTCAAGAGAATTCTGACATTTGATGAGAGTAATTGGCTTGCTTCTTATATTGATTTGAATACTGACCTTAGGAAAAAAGCTAAAAATGATTTTGAAAAGGATTTCTTCAAACTTATGAATAATAGTGTATTTGGTAAGACAATGGAGAATGTTCGCAATAGAGTTGATGTTAAATTAATATTCTCTGGTGAAAATGAATCGATGAAGAATGGAGAAACTCATTACATTTCGAAGAAGGATAGAATAGCAAAAGTTAGCTAAGTTGCCTAACTTCAATAGGAATATAATAATAAACAAAGAATTGAATCTTGTTGAAATGGCAACAACTAAAATAGTAATGAATAAACCAATTTATGTTGGATTTGCTATCTTAGAGCTTAGTAAATGGTTGATGTTTGATTTTCATTATAATGTTATGAAGAAGAAATATGGAGAAAATATTAAGTTGTGTTATCAGGACATAGATTCCCTTATTTATGAAATTTTCACTTCCGACTTATACGAAGACATACAAAATGATCAAAAAATAAAAGAATATTTCGATTTCAGTGAATATCCTGAATGCCATCCTTTACATAATGTTGAAAATAGAAAAGTAGTTGGAAAATTCAAAGATGAGTTGAATGGTTTAATAATGGAAGAACTTATAGCCTTGAAGCCCAAATCATATGCTTATAAAATTTCTGAAGAAACACGTGAAAACTTAAAAGATTATTACGAGAAAAGAAATCAGGAAGAAAAAGAAAATCCGAAACTTTCAAAGGTACCCAAACCTGGAGAAGAAAATAAAAAGAGTAAAGGAATAAAGAAGTGTGTCGTCAAGAAGTTAAAAGTTGAAGATTTTCGAGAAAGTCTTTTTAATAAGAGTATTGTTAGAAAGAAACAATGTTGTATTCGAAGTATCAAACAACAATTATACACCCAAGAACAAGAAAAAGTTGTTTTTGACAATGAAGAGACTGAATCAAAATTGCTGAGTTTCAAGAGGATTATCATACCAAATTCATATGAAACAAATGCTTACGGTTTTAGTCCTCAAGAAATGAAAATAAAATAATTTTTTGGAAATCTGTGGATTCCAAAAGTTTCAAAAGTAATAAACAGTAATAACCACAATGATGTGTTCCAAATTCTTGAATTTGAAATGTTGACAATTCGATGACTGATTTTTTTATCTTTAGCTTTCGAAGTTTTTCAAATATTGTTGAAGTTCTGATGGTGGATCTAGTCCGAACGAATCAAAGTAATAAATGTTCTTATTATTCTTGGAGTAGCAAACCCAATGAGTACCTTTTACCTTCTGAAGAATCTAAATTTATAATACCAGTTTCTCTTGATAGTACCTTATCCGGCAAAAGTATCTCGCATAAAAAAACACCACGGAAGTTCTTGATCTTTAGTGTGTCTACAAGTTCTTCAAGATCATAATTTGTCAGAGGTTTAAGATTTTTCTGAAAAAGATCATTTATTTAGCTATTCACCGTTCTACCGCATTTTTCTCGACCATCTCGACCACTGGATTTCGACCATATTTTTTATAACGCACTTTTCGACCATTTCCCCATTTTTGAAATTTGCTGAAAATGACACATTTTTGATGACCGAAGGTTAGAAATCAATGATAATAAGCCTTAAAATGGCTTAAAATTGCGAAAATTGAGAATGGTCGAAAAGGTGCGGTAGAACGGCATTTTATCTATTATTATTGTAGAAAATCATACAAATCAACATACTTTGCCAAGGGAACGTTTTTTTTTTTTCAAAGTTCCCAGAATAGGTTCGAATTTTTGTAGGCTTCCTCTGCAGATGATTCATCAATAATTTTTTTTTAGTTAGATTTAATCGACCAGTGAAGAAGAACTTTTAAAACTATAAAGAACAATCGCCTTTGGCGATGTCCAAACGTGTAATAAGTCGAGTTGAAATCCAGTTGCACCTTGACGAGCTCAGAATGTAGCGAATCTTGTTCTGGAGTCCGTGAACCGTTCTCTAGGTGGAAGCCTCGGAACGAGAGCGACCACTTTGAGTAAAGGTTTTACATTGATCATACTTCTATGAATCAACATAAAAAATTTTTTATTCACAATTAGAAAGATCTGAAAGGCAGGTTCGTAAAAAACATTTCCAACAGGATTATTCAATAGCCGTAAAATCTGGGGATCTCTTTTTTGATGGAAATATTTTATTATTCGAGGGCGTTTTTTTGCCAACGATTGAAATTTTGATGATATTCGGCTGGAGTACGTGGCGAGCTCATGTTTTCAGAATAAGTGAAATAATCTTAGCAGAAGTTCTGGTTTCCGATTCATGAAGCTTCGAAGATTGTAAAAAAAGTAAATTATAACAAAAACAGAGTTGGGAAAGTTGAGAAAGTTGCCCAGTGTTGGGAAAGTTAGCCAGTGAGCTTTGTTTTTGTCAGATCATTATAAAAAAATTAGCATAAATCTGAAGTAAAAAAAATGATTTCAGACATAAAAAAATTTTTTAAATGAAAATTGAGATTTAACAAAGGAAACTATGAACGAAAACTGTATAATGTGGGAAGAGGTGCGTGTTGGCGTGCACGTGCGTAATTCTCTAGTTAACGGGAAGGAGGAGAAAAGGTGTGAGAAAACAGTGTGCGTGGTGGCGATGAATAGAATGGACCGAGTCGAGAATTGCGGAGGGAAAAGTTTTGGACGAGATAGATTGAATGGACACCGCGACGGGTGGCTGGGAATTGCTTTTTGCAAAGAATGGTTCAAGAAACGGTTTTTCGTTTACAGAAGGCTTCTGATTCGTAGAGAATTGTGAACTTGAAGCATACATGGAAAATCAGAAGAAAATTGGGGCAAATCTTAAAGGATAAGGAAACATTCATAAGATGGCGCTCCTTTCGAGGGAATCTTCAATAAATCACACCAATCAAAAATCCAAAAAACTAAATTATGCCTTAATTATTACTTTTAACATGATATCAACAACTTCAATAAACTTTATCTTGCAGTTGTGTGGCCGACCGTGAAACGACTTGCGCCTGGTGGCATCTTACAGCGTTTGAACGAGCCGTCTAGGGATAGAGGTTTGTATTTTTTTAAATTTAAACTTTGCTGCGATGCATAGAGCCATTCCAAGTGCTATCATGAAATACATGTAATAATCCTCGATTTTCAAAAATACGTGAATCGGAAAAGTGAATCTGTTTGAGATATTTTCAAGACGAGTTCAAAATTTCTCCTGTGATTTTAAAAGGAACACAGACAAATTTTGTAAGATTTCTCAAAGCGAAAAGCCATTTTCAGTATTTGTTCAGGCCGTGCTGCGTGTTAGAACATCATAGAAATTTTTTTTGGAAGATTAGGGGAAGAGATTAGAGATTATTTCGCTAATTATTAAAGATAAGACCTGAAATGTTCAGCCAAAACCAAAATCAATCAGAACTAAACACAAGATTACATTTTCTGGCTCGAAATCCTGAAGAAAAAGAATCAAGTGACTTGATATACTTGAGAAAAACCGAAAAACCATCAAAAAATGAGAGTCAGATAGCGGTTTGACTCGGTCGATTCCGGCTAGACGGATCGGAGAAAGCGGCCGATCGGAATAAAATGAGAAAGAAAAACGAAGAAGAAGAAGGTCCGACGGCGACGATCAATCAACAGGGTCCTCACTGACTCATCGACAAAAGGGTCCTCCCAAAAAACCACTCATTTGCAAAAAAAAATATTGAATGGAGAAAGAAACTTTTTTTAAAAGTTATTTTCGGGACTCTAAGTGGCGATCATTGGAATGAAAAGCAGTATTCCTGAGAAAGATTGATTGAAAAGCTTCTCAAAGGCTGAAAAAAAAGGTTTTGATCTATAAGGACCATGAAGGGAAGAAATCAGGTTTCAAAAAAAAATCTGCGTTCTTCAAAGTTTTAAGCAGGAAAGAGAAGCTCGAAAATGAGCGAAAAGCTCGGAAAAGCGGCCGCAAATGAGTCTCCAGAGGCTCTCTGTAGACACCAATAACTTTTTGATTTATCGCTTTACTTTTTGTGTCAGCTTCGAGTTTTGATATGCAAGAAGGAGTGAAGAAAAATTATAATAATGTCAAAAGGATTTCTCCATTTTTTCTGAAGGATTTCTTTTTTTTTTTTTCTTTTGGAAAATCCGACTTGCTTGAACCATCAAAACCGGAGAATTGATTCGATTAGAACAAAAATTTGGTCAAAGGGCGCTCTTTTCCGTCAACCTGAAAAAGTCAATATATAATTTCTCTTTATTAAATTTGAAAAAGCGAGCGAAACAAACGCGAAATAATTTTCTTCAAATAAACAAAGAGGAGAGAAAGTTAAAATGGGTTAATTGTTGTAGACTAGAAAAAATGGTGGTTTGTATAAGAAAGTAGGTGCTCGACATTTTTCGAGCTGAGGAGAAAAAAAGGAAATAAAATCTTTATAATGGGATGGTAAATTGGGAGGATGAAAAGCCTGGAAGGAGAAAATCAGATTTCATTTTATTTTTATTTTGCATCAGAATTGTAAAAAGTTTTTATGGCAGAGGGCTTTGTATATTAGCGCAGTGGAATGTGAACTCTTCCAGCTTTCAAAGAGTCAAAGGTTCGATTTCCAGTTTGAGATTATTTTCCTCAAAACTTTTGTGTTGAAAAACTGTCGATAAGAGTAGAAAAGCCTTCAAGTTCTGTCAAAAGTTAGACAAGTCTACTCCACAACAACAGCTGACCTCGGCGACAAATTGGCCGCGCAACAACGGCTTTTGCCCCCAAGAAGTTACTGCTTTTTGCTTTAAACTGTCGTGTGGGACGACAAATAAACTAGTAGTGTGCAACTTGAGACTTTGGAGATTGGTGAAATCTTCTAACAGGGTAGGTAGTGAAATATAAGATTTAGAATATTTTATAAGTTTGTACAAAAAACTGTTTGAAGGTCTAGATTTATGTAGTCGGCTCCTATGCAAACTTGAATTTTTTGAAATTCATAATTTCTCATTTTGTAGAGGGATACATTTAGATCTGATTTCGCAACATTCAAACTAAAAAAATTAAAAGATTGCAGAGATAGGAGGACATTGAGAATCTCAATCTTAACTTTCAAAGAGATTTTCGGTAATTTAAAAAAAAGCTTCTAAAGTTCGCATTGAAAGTACCTCAAAACATGGAAAATCTCAAGCCGCCTTGATCTTTTTGGTAAATTTGTTTGTTCTGTTTGTGTTGCCCATGGGCGCACTTGACAGCTGTTAAGTCGGATTAGAGGGTTGATATGAGGAAAATAAGGTTCTGAGAAAAGTACAGGCAGGCCATTTCTGAAAGGGCTTCTGCTAGGCGAAAACCGTTTGAGGTCAGGTGCAGATGAAAGTTGAAAATTTCTTATTTTAAAAACGTTCATCAAATTTGTATCAAAACGGCCTAGTATTTAGTCAAACTTGAAAGAAACAAATTCTAATTTTACTTTTTGAACTATATTTATTACGTTCGCTTTCAACAGAACGTTTGGAAAAACCGGAAACCGAGTGAAAAAGATTTACAACTCAAAGGGGAAAAGTGAAGAAGAAGAGCAACAGACGAGCAGTCGCCGTCTGTTGGGCGGCATCTTTTTATGTTTCGCCGATTTTTATTGGCTCCGTGCCAATAATTTTTGGCTTCTTTAAAGCTTTCAGAGTGGACTGGTCACAGAGGTAGTTTGAGGAAAAGTTTCAAAAAGGAGAGATTTTAGGCTTTCTCGGAGTTTTGCAAAGATTTTTAGTCGTTGAAATATCGAAAAAGTAGGAAACTTGCAAAAGAAGCTCAAAAAAAAGATACCTTTGAGAGTTAGAAAATTTTTCGGGCTATCAAACTTGATGAAAATTGAGAGATTTTTTTGTTTTTTCGAACTTTTGCCAAGTCTCTGAGGCCCTGAAACATCGTAAAAGTTTGAAGTTTTGAAATAAGAACAAATGGTATAAAAATGAACGACACCTGTCGCATCGATGTCACGGCATATTACCTAACATCTTTTCACCTACAAATGACGTCATAATTGGGTAATTTGTGCTCGGCAGGGCCCATATTACAGTTCAGCAGCTATTTTGTAAGAAATAAATTAATTTTTGTTACTTTCTAGTGCTGAATGAGCAAGACTTAGTTATAAAAAACGTTGAAGAGAAAAGTTCTGAAAAGGAGGAAAAATGAGGGGGAAAAGGCGAGAAAAGCACAGCGTCCGTTGGCCTCTAATCGCCTTTTCCGGACCCAAAGAACCGGTCGGCCGTTTCTGTGCGCACTTAAAAAAGAGCTTTTTAGGATGAAAAGGTGTTGGAAATTACCTTTATCTAACAAAAAAAAATTTTATTTTTTTTGAAGTTATCTACAAATTTTAAAGTTGTCATGAAAGTTTAACTTGATTTTTGTACACTGAAAAGCTCCCTTTTACGAGAGAAGATCTTTTTTGCCTATAAAGATAGTAATTACTCTTTCGAAATGTATTTTATTAACTCCAACGCATGCAGATACAATTGAAAATACAGATAAGAACTGAAAAGTATAAAAAAAGAAGTTCCAAAGTTATCCGAAAGATGAAGCCAACGGAAACGTCGCATGGCTATTAAAAGGAGCAGCTAATGGGACTTTTTGCGTTTCCTAGACATCCCGAAGTCGTTTTCACTTGTTTTAAACTATATTGACTTTGACTTTGAAAAAAATGGCCGCAATTGGAATGGTTTTCTTAGGATCTTACCTTAGCACGCGCAAAATTTGAATAAGAAGTAATTTTATGTGATAATTCGCTTAAAATACAAAGACAGAAAAATTAATTCCCGATCGAGATGTTCGAAGGGACTGGATCTTGAAAAAAAAATAATAAACTTTTTAAAATATCGAAAAAAAAATATTTCAAAGAAAATCTATCTCCATGAGTAGCATTTCTTTTTCACTAAATTCGACAGTTTTCTAGAAAAAAGAAAATGAGAACTTTCCGAAAAGAAGAAGAAAAAAATGAAGCGAAAAGAACGTTTAAAAAAGTTTATCTGAGAATATTTGAATTCGAACTCGAAATAGTGGAAATAGAGGCACCGAGAGTTTAGAGGACACTTTTTTACAACAAAAACGAGGCGAAAAAGAGTCTCTGGGCTCAGGAGCTCAGAAGCTCATTAACCTCCTCGTCCTCCCGCTTTGCTCCCGTTTGTTTCGCAACTCAAAGGTCATCTGCTGTCATATGTTACTCGACTGGACACAACGACGAGAGAATAATACTTTTGATAGGAGAGAGAAAATAGAAGCTCGGGTCGAAGTAAGGAACTATTCCTATTTATTTATTATTTGATGATACATCTCTACATTTTTCACATACATTACATTATAGACTCGTCAAAATTAAGGAAACGATAAAAAAAATTTACATCGAATAAGAGGAAAATGCAAAAAAAAAAACAATCCAGAGAGGTAGAAAAAACTAGGAAAAGAGTATGAAGAAAACTAGAAAGCAATATTGAAAAAATAGCGACACACGATCCATCTTTTGTGCTCCACGGATAACGGAGGCTATTATTTAGAAATCTCATCCTTTCTAGAGGTCTTTTTCTCTACATTTTTCGCCGCTTCAACAACGATGGCTCTTTTTGACAAATTTAGTAATAATAATTTATTCATCTACAAGGTGAAAAGAATAAATAGTTGCGAACCGGTTTTAGGTCACCCTCACGAGTGACTTTACCGGATAGGGTATACATTTTTGTGCTCTATCGATAACTGCGACCGTTCTCTGTCGAAGTTTGAAGCTCTATCGGCAATTGAGGTTATTTTTCACAAAATTCGAACTACTGAGGTCAATTTTTCGATTTTTTTTTGGCAAACCTTTTTATGTTCCTTCTTACTAATTTCGAGGATAATCTATCATGATTCAAAAAGTCTTTTGATTGCAAAAGTTAGTTGGTTCTCAGCCAATTCACTCTCTCTAGTCCGAAGGTGCATGTAAACTCATTACTTATGTATATGTCGGCATTATCGAGGCCCTTTTGGCGGTCGACCCCCGCGAGACTCGTCAATTTCCATTCCTCGTGACGTGGTTATCGTTGGCTTTGGCTATTCATTGATGAATATGAATGAGAAACGAGGAATATTTTAGTTGGCAATTGGATATTGGAATGGTTTGAGAGTTCAGTTCAACTTTGGAGTAGTTAAAACGGAAAAGGTGATCTTAACGAGTTATTTAGAACCGAAATTCGTCGAGAAATCTGTAAAACAGTTTTAAACGGAAAGAAATGGCCTTCTAGTGTTCAATGGAGCACAAAAAACTCAAGAACAATCGAATCTTTGAAAATTTGTGATCAGAGAATGTGAAATTCAGAAAATTCAACCCCGGTTATCAATCGAGCGCGAAGTTTCGACAAAAATCAGCGTCATTCGTTCAGGGGTCAAAAAAAACTTAAAAATGATGAAGCACGTTTGGAAAACAATTGGCTGTGCAGCAACTTGAAGTTTGAGTGGGATATTGAGTTTTCAATAGACAAGTTGGCTCGAGTTCGTTTTTTGTCTAGTGAATTTCCTACTTTTGTAATTACCTATTGAACATGGAAATATCAAACTTCTGCTTTATAAATAAAATCAATATTGAATATCGAAACAAAATAGGTCTTCGAAAAGGAGAAGAAAGGAATGAATAATTGAGAAAAGATAGGCGAGGCCGACGTCGATACATCAATTT